GTCTCTGCTGGTGACTCTTGTGTGAATGCACTCCAATGGTTGGCAAACCATCTGTGTGGCAGTTGTGGTGTCTAGCTGCTTTTGCAGCAGCCATGGTTATTGTGGTGTTTGTGGTGGGCCTCCCACGTGGAGGTGCTGTTTTTGGCATGCTCCTTGGCACTGGCATGGTGTGCCTGGTTGTGGGGTATGTTTGGTCTCCTTCTCCATGCCTCTGGTCCCTGGGCAGGCTGGCGCCATGTGCCTGGTTGTGGGAGAGAGGTTTAGTCCTCGACTCTATACCCCAGGTCACTAGGTGGGCCCCAAGGTGCTGGCATGGTGTGCCTGGTTGTGGGAGAGAGGTCCATTCCCCTTCTCCTTGCCTCGGGTTCCTGGGCAGGCCCCAAGGTGCTGGTGTGGTGTGCCTGGTTGTGGGAGGGTGGTCCGGTCTTCTTCTCCATACCCCAGGACCATGGGTGGGCCCTGAGGCACTGGCTTGGTGCGCCTGGTTGTGGGAGGGAAGTCCATTCCCCTTTTCCATGCCTCGGGTCCCTGGGCAGGCCCCAAGGTGCTGGTGTGGTGTGCCTGGGCCAGAGTACTTCACTTCTTTCTATTGCAGAAAATATTCCATTGTATAGATATACCACATTTTGGGCTTGCCATTTTTTGGTTATTATGAATAATATGCTCCCATGAACATTTGTATACAAGCTTTTATGTGTACATGTTTTAATTTCTCTTGGGTATATACCTAGGAGTGGAATTACTGGGTCATATGATGATCCTATGTTTAACCTTATGAGGAACTTCCAGAATGTTTTCCAAAGTGGCTCACCATTTTACATGCCACCAGGAGTGTATGAGGGTTCAAATTTCTCTATATGCTTGCAAACTCTTTTTATCTTTTAACAGTGATTTCTAATTTAACAACACCTGATTTTGTAAAACCCTAAATCAGGAAAGATTTCAGATATTGTATCTTCTTAATGCTGAAAATGAGGAGAGATAGGAAAAAAAAAATCTATCAATTAAACTAAGGAATGTTCTTACAAAATGTTCTTTGTATTGTATCTAAAAAGTCTATATTTGGTACATATTTTCACTATCTGCCATACATTCTTATCAGGAAACAAAAGACAACTATCACTAAATTAACAAATTTGTGTCATCCTTATTGTCATCTCTAATGGTTTATTTGAGCAATATTTTGTTGTATATGTCTGAAATGATGTGTTTAAATTTTATGCATATATGTGGAATTGTTAAGTTGCCTAGCATAAACCAGAATTTCACGTGTGTATATATACATATATTACAGCAGTTATAATTTAGACATTAAAATCAAGTCTATACTAGGAATGGCTGTCTTTGGAAAACACATCTGTGATAAACTAGTGAAAAGAGCCTAGGGGCTGGCCGGTTAACTTAGTTGGTTAGAGCGCAGCTTTGTAACACCAAGGTCATGGGTTTATATCCCTGAACCGGCCAGCCGCTGGCGGGGAGTGGGGGGGAAACCAAAAAAACAGAACCAGAAGGCATGATCCCATCTTCTCTACTTAAAAGCTTTATAACCCCTGGCAAACTTTTTCTCAGTTTTCTCATCTGCTAAGTGGGTGTGATAGTTCTACCTGCTCTGTCTACAAGCTTGTTGGAAACTGTGATGATGTGAGGTACCTTTAGAAATATAGAGAGATATCTGATGTATATGATTATTGTGATGATTCTGCTTCTGACTATGCTAATTATTTTTCCACATTCTCAATTTAGTCAATATATATATTTATCAAATCTATGATACTTAGAAGTGTATGCCTACAAGTTTGCTTTTGCTTTGAATACACTGATATATCCTTAATATTCACTTTGCTAAAAGAAACCTTGAACATTTTTTAACTGCCTTTAAAAAGAGAGTCCTCTGTGTGTCCTTCTGGAATCTATATTCGTGTCCTACCTAGATATTCATTTTTACCAAAAATGTGACTACTCTGTTCGTTCTCTTATTACAACAATGTGGAATAGTGTGAAGGGCACTTGTCTGGATCTGTAGACTCACATCTTAGTCTCAGCTGTCACTGACTGCGTGTGACATTGGGCAAGTCTCTGAATAGTGCTGAGCTCGTTTTCTCACTGGTAAAGTCAGGGCAGTGATCCCTGCCTCTAGGGTTATTGTGGGGCTGGATGTAAAAGTGTTCTGTAAAGTCAAGAACATGTGCACGTTAAAGGTGCTTCAGAAACACATCTCCATTACTGGAATGATTTTATGGCATTGTCCTTTTACAAAGGAATGTCCCAACAGCCTTCCCTAAATTTCTTTCTTTTCAGATGCAATTACAAACATATGAGAATACTTTGCTTAATAAAGATGCAAGTTTGCAGAAGGTTAGTACTGTTCCTTCTCGTGAAGGCCTGTGGGATTGGCTAGCTCTCTCCAGTCATAAAGGAGGTGGTCACTGGTGTCACTTCACCCCTGTTAAGATCTGATTCTATTATGTCACAAGACTTTCCTTTATAGCACTTCTCAAAAATGTTGTTCTGCGTGAAGAATACTGGCTGCTTCTCCATCTGAGATAAGTTTGAACATATCTTCCCAAAGTTCTGCTGGTGGTCAGATGTGCAGCGAATGTTAGTGTGAGAATCTACCAGTCATCGGCTAGACACTGTGATGCAGTTTTCATTTATAATGATACAAATGAGTATGCAGCCATTCATTTTAGGAAAGAAGAAAATATCTCCAAATTATTTGCCACCTAATTTGACGGGTTGATACCTACATAGATATCATTCTATTTATGCATATAGTCTGTGATCGCAGCCTATCTGGTACTAAGGGATGCTGGCTACAGAGATGCTGGTTACAGTGACTTTAAGAGACCCAGGAGGAACATAGCCTAAGTTAATAAACTTCCACAGTCCAAGACAGGGAAGTAGAGAAGGAGCAATATTTGCCACGCTTTTCCTTTTCCTGCACATTATGAAGTTTCAAAGGAGATATGTATAGCGTGTGGCTTTGACTGAAGTACTGAATGCTGTACTAACTTTCTCTCTTCATCGGGGTGTTCTCTGTCGCTGCGTAATGATATTGTATTAGTGGTGGCTGCTCAGTTCTTCCACATCTCTGGCCTTTCCACCTTCTGCACTGGTGCCCAGCACTCATTAGCTATTCACTGAGCACCTCCCGTGTGCCAGGCACCATGCCAGTCACGGGGTAAAATGATAGATCAGGCACTCACTACCTGGACTTTCTGGTCTTGTAGTATAAAATGAGGATTTTAACAGAGGTATTATTTGAACTTGATAAAATTGGATGCCTTAATAATTCACTGGTCATTTGCAAGTAAAGACTGATTTGTGTTTGGGTTTTTTTCCTTAAGTTCATCATGATAATAATTATAACTTTGATTTGGGCTTAAGAATCAACTTTTAGGATTTGATTCCATTTGACCAAACACAGAACTTGACACCACTTAGATATAGCTGCCTTGTCCCACACTTCTTATGTGTTTTTAATCATGAGTACTAATTGGTTCAGTTTTCAAATGGGGAGATTGGTAAAACATCTCATAATTGGGCATTTACAGTTCTTTTATGGCTCATATTGATAGTCTGATAAATTTGATTTGGTGGGCCCATTAACTTCTTGCTGTTCTCTCTCCTACTTTTCAGAAGGACTTAAGTATAGAAGAACTTAAGTCAACCATTGTAGAATATGGAAGCATTATAGAGGTATGCCATAATCTCATAGCTTTCAAAGTGGTGTAGTCAAGCATACCCACAAGAGTAATATGTATAGCCTAACGTTGTGTGTGATTCCAGAATTTACGAGGGGAGAAAAATAAACTGGCTCATGAGTTACAGCACCTGCAGCAAGAGCTCATCGTGTAAGTACAGAGCAACCCTTGCCGGCCTCCTCTCCTGTGCCTCTACCCTACGCTACTGGCCAGCCGAGCTACTACAGATCTTTGCATGGCCACATTTTATTCTTCTGTACCTTATACGTGATATTTTCTCTACTTTTGTCCATGAGAACTCCTTTTCGAGTTTTCTATGACTCGCCCTGACTGTCTTACTCAGCTTGGGCTGCTGTTACAGAATACCATAGACTGGTGGCTTCAACAACAAATGTTTATTTCTCACAGGGCTGAAGACTGGAAGTCCAAGATCAGGGGTGGGTTCTGGTGAGGGCCCTCTCCCAGGTTCCAGACTTCTTGTATCTTCACATGGAAGAAAGAGAGCTAGCTAAATCTCTGGTGTCTTTTTATAAGGATACTAATCCCACCCAGGAGGGCTCTACTGTCATGACCTCCCATAGGCCGCACCTCCTAATATTATCATATTGGGGTTAGGATTTCAACATAAGAACTTTTTTTGGTGGGGGGCACAAATGTTCAGTCCATTGTGCTGACCCTCCCTTACTTTTCCCTTGCCTTGAGATTAAGTAATCCTTTTGAATGCAAGTGTGGCACGTTCTTTCCTGTTTCCTAACACACATCATCCCATATTACAATCATTTGTTTCTGAATGATTCTGAATGCTAGTCCAAGATCCACAGGAGCCATTCAGATGACAAAAATGTGTAGAGCCAATGGAATAAGTGCACACACCTACGTCATGTGGCTGGAAAATGAGAAAAGTGCATTATCCGTATAAATACAGAGGGGGCTACTCTGCTTACTCCAGCTATTTGTTGCATCAAGACTGTGTGGACCTGGTGTGGCCATATCTACTGATTTCGGAAGAAGAGCCAGAAATCTAGATTACTAGTGTAATTTTCTTATTTTTAGCCGTTGCCTTCAATTTTTTTTTATGTGTGTCCTAGTTGTTTGTGATCTCCTAGAGGGCTCATTTGTACAGCTCCTGGAGGGGCTTGCTTTCTTCTCTCTGTGTTCCCAAGCACCTTATACAATCTTTGGCACACATGGGTGCTAACTGGTTAGCAATAAATGAACCCGATAGTGATGACTTCAGACATAATGTTGGAGACACACGTAACTAGACTGAACAGCTGTTCTTGTTTTTTTCAAGAAATGGGATCCAGCTGAAAGTCAGTGAAGAGCGTAAGGGTATCATCTCTGAAGGAGAAAAATCTTTACATTATGAGCTCACTCTTGCTCAGTCTGCAGAGGTAGGTAATTATTACCAGACGGAAAGCTGTAAAAACAACAACAACAACAACAAAACCTACCACTTGATGTGATAGCTTACCATTAAGTGAGGGTCCGTAGCTTGTTGAAAACCAACTGAGACATTTTGAAGAAATCTGTGGGTAGTTTCTAGAATCCAAGTCTAAAATCTCTTAGCTTGAGGGAAAGGTTAGTCAAAAGCTAGTGCAAGGCTCAAACATGGGTTTGTGGAAATGAGCATTCAGTTAATTGGGACTTCAGAAATCTTTATGTTCTTTCAAAAGGAGAGAACAAAACTGAGACCACTGAGTGGGGGGGTGTTAGTAAGATATTGGTAAAGGCCCACAAAAAATGATTGCATTGTGTAATGCTGAATATACTAATTATCCTGATTTAAGCATCACATATTACACACAGGTATTGATATTCAATGCCATGTCCCACAGATATGTACAATCAGTTACATTCCAATAAAAATAATCAAAAATCTTTATCTTCTTGATCTTTTCAGGACAGACTACCTGCACTGACCTCTGACCTTGGGGTCCTAAAGGTAATCATGGAGATCCATGAGCTATTTTTTAGTATTTTCTAAAACCCCCAAAGTAAATGTATTTACCAAAAATAATGATGTCCAGAAAAAACACTGAATTTCTTTGCTTTAGGGTGTAATTGTACCAACCCAACGTAACGACATTGATTATTACGTTATGAACAGAAATTAGCATTTTTATGTGTGCTTTGGTTAATTTTGAAATGGCAAAATTTAAAAAAAAAATCTGGTAGACTCAATTCTTTACAACATGGGAGGAAACACTCAAAAGCCTTCTTGGGGATAAAAACATTGGATCCCTTACGCTGTGTTTTTACTCCTTTCTGTTTTCCAATTTTGTGGTTGTTATGTTAGGAACTGCTTTATTTAGCAGACTGCTTTCTTCACCACTTCGGTCTCTCCCTGTCTGTGGATGATGGATATGTCAGAATGTCCTCCTGTTGACAGCTGCGACATGACCTTGAAAGGAGAGGAAGAAAGTCTTTAGGGCAAATGCTGTTTGAGTTGCTCCTGCCAAGGATGCAGGGATGACATATGCTGCCTTCCTCTGAAGCCATCTCGGGCAGCCCTGGACATTCTGCTGAGGGCTGTGCTTTCCTGACGTTCTGTTTCAAATACTCATCATTTCACTGTGTTTTTGAAACTAAGCCAAACTGCCAGACTGAATGAAACTGTGGCAAATCTGCCATGGCAATGTGCTTTTGTCCTCTGTCCTCTGAGATAATGATGATGTCAAGATGCCATCCCATTAAGCTCTACACTTCTAAACAGAGGGTTATCAGCCAGCAGAGTTCTGGCTCTGAGATTTACCCATCAATGAGTTAGGAAGTTTGCCTCCTAACTAAAATCGGGAAGTAAGAGTCCTCAACAGATGGCAAGAAGGTGGCTAAATGTGTTGTCATATATCTTGAATATGACAGGAGACAGAGACTTTAACAAAAGTGTAGGGAAAGTACTTTGTGAAACATCATCTGAGAGTATCTTCTGTGAATGGGAGGGAGACAAGAGAAACCAACCTCTTTTCAATGGGATTGATTGAGCACCATGTCCCCCAAGAGTGTGTTTTTCCTCCTGTGAATTTCTTTACTTTCCCCTGTTTTTATGTTACAATTAGAGCCATAACAGTTTATATCACTCACATGTAAATGTTACCTATTGGATTAGTGAGTTTTCCTTATGATGGGATAAATGTGCATTCAGTTGACACCTTCCTAGAGAGAAAATGTGAACAGTTTTTTTAGGATGTAGAAAGATTTCACAAGGCTATTTAGAACTTTTTTTTTTTTTTGTCTTTTGTCTTTTGTCTTTTGTCTTTTTCCGTGTG